TGCAGACTGCGGCTACCAAAAGCGCAGCGAAAGAAAGAGAAGGAGGGCGGGAAAGACAAGGTGCAAGAAGAAAGATACAGTTACAATGGCGCCCACACAAAATTACAGTTACACACACGATTAAGGGCGCCCACTAATCAGAGTACTGTTGCAGCCGCATGAAGAAGCGCGTAGACAAAAGACGCCGCGTGGCAAGAAAATCCTAATTACTGAATTCGTAAATTCCTATCTAATGCGGAAAAACAAAAAGCACGAACTTCAGGGGGAAAGTCCGAAATTCCGAGAGCTATCGGGGTGCGACAAAATTCGAAAAAGACTCAAAAGAAAATTCAAAAAGAATGAAGCAAATCCCCGCGCGATGTCCGCGCCCAAAAGATCGAAACCGAAACGAAAGAAACGACGTCAACATTTATTAATTGCGCGCGCGGTGGCGCGCCAACCATCCAGCCGACCAATCAATCAACCGACCATCCCAGGACGCACCCAGCTCTGAACCCGGCCATTCGAAAAGAAGCGACGAAAAAGACAAAAAAGCAAGGATGCTGATGCAATTTCCCACCGATCCCGATCTCTCGTAATTGGCCCAACCTTCCCAACTTAGGACCCCTCATTGCAACCGCGCAGAAAGTCGCGCGTTTCAGAAAGTGGTTCGTCACACCAGGGTATTAGTTTCTGCTTCGTGCATTTTTCAACGTGGTCACATTGTGGCCGTGAGATTGTCAGATCGGATGGCAGGGCAGGGACCCGTGTATACTCAAAACTGGAACTAAACCTCTACAAGTGGGACATGACCCCCGGGTTGTTGTTCTTGTAAGGCACGCCGGGCCTGCTTCCCGGCTTCGTATAAACAAGTGGACCTGCCGCAGCCACGTTAACAGAATGCCCAGGACGATGACAAAAACATTTGCGAAACACCCCGGACATCGTTTGGACCCCATCTTTGCATTGTACCCCTATCGGACAATGTCCAACTTTGCAAAATGCCCCGGTAGTTGCGAACTTTTCGTAGGTGCAATTGCAAAAGGCCAAGGCCCAAACGGGGAGGCTGACATTGCGAATTTGCACACGCGGCTGACAGGGGCATAACACAAAGATGTCAGCCCAAAAGGCCATTCCACTGTACCGAGATCTTTAAGGGACATTTTGAAATACATCTCAACTTATGGGGGTATTTGGCAAATTACCACGGCCCCAAAAAAGGCCAATGGCATATTTTCAACATTTGGAGGAAGATATGCTAGTCTTCTCTCTCTCTCTCTCTCTCTCTCTCTCTCTCTCTCTCTCTCTCTCTCTCTCTCTCTCTCTCTCTCTCTCTCGTCTGTGAGCGCACACACATACTTCCTCCCCTTTGTGCGACCTCCTCTCCCTAGCGCGACCTCCTCCACCTCCCTGGTGGCCCCCTCCTCCCGCTCGCACAAACTCCTCCCCCTAGTGTGACCTCCCCCTCCCACTGGTGCGACCTCCTCCTCCGAGTCCCCTCCCGCACGACCTCCTGCAACCTTTCATCCCAGCGTGCGGCCTGCTCCTACCCCTCCCATGACCTCCTCCTCCCCCGTGCACAACCCACTCCTCCCCCTCTTCGGACCTCCTCCTCCCCCTCGTGCGACTTCCTCCTCCCCTTCACGGCACCTCCTCCCCGTCCTTGCGCAACCTGCTTTTCCCCCTTGCACATCGTCTTCCGACCTCCTCCCGTCACGTGACGTTCTCCCACCTCTCTTTTGACCTCCTTCAATTCCTCCTCCTCCTTGTGCGACCTCCTCCTCATCTCTCACGTGTCCTCTTCCGACCTCCTCATCCCACTCACGCTACCTCCTTCCACCTCCCTTCCGACCTCCGCACGACCTCCTGCAACCTCTCGTCCTCCTTGTGCGACCTGCTCGTCTCCCTCGCACTACCTCCTCCTCCCCCTTGCACGACCTACTCCTCCCCCTCTTTCGACCTTCTCCTCTCCCTTGTGCGACCTCCTCCTAGGCTCCTCCCCCTCTTGCGACCTCCTGCTCGTCCTTGCGTGACCCCCTCCTCCCCTCACACATCGTCTTCCAACCTCCTCCTCCCCCTCGCGCGACCTCCTCCTACCCCTCGTGCGACTTCCTCCCCCTCTTCTGACCTCTCCCTTGATCGACCTCTTCCTACCTCTCTCACAACGTCCTCCTAATCCTTGTGCAACCTCCTCCCCCTCACACGTCCTCCACCCACCTCCTCATCCCACTCGCACCACCTCCTCCTCCTCCTCCCCTCCCCCTCGCTCGACCTCCTCCTACCCCTCGCACGACCTCCTCCTACCCCTCACGCAACCTCCTCCTACCCCTCTCGCGCCCCCCTTCTCCCACTCTCGCGACTTCCTGACCTCTCCCTTGCTCGACCTCTTCCTCCCCCTCACACAACGTCCTCCTAGTCCTTGTGCAACCTCCTCCCCCTCATGCGTCCTCCACCCACCTCCTCATCCCCCTCGCATGACCTCCTCCTCCTCCTTGTCGCAATGTCTGCTTCCCCCTTGCATGACCTCCTCCCACCTCTATTCCGACCTCCTCCTCCTTGTCGTGACGTCCGCTTCCCCCTCACACAACCTCCTCCTCCTTGTGCGACCTCCTCATTCCCCTCGTTCCGACCTCCTCCTCCCCCTTGCGCAATGTCCTCCTCCCCCTGGCAACCTCCTCCCTACATCCTCTCCCCTCCTCCATGAATTCACGTTGTCTGCCATGCTTATCTTCCTCCTCCTTTTCGTCCCTCTTTCTCCTTTTGTTCCATCCTCCTCCTCTTTCCTCCATTCTCATTGTCCCCTCGCTCCTTTTTTTTCGTTGTTCCTCCTCGTCCTCACTGCTCCTCATGCTGCCTCCTTTGTTTCGATCAGCCCAAACATGCTTCTCCCTCTTCATCCTCCCTCCTTCTCCCACCCTTCCTGCTCTGAGCGCACACGTGCCACATGCCCCAAATGTCTTTCTCCCTCTTCCTCCTCCCTCCTCCTGCGTTGATCCTCCCTCCTCCATCACATCTTTCAATCGCCGCCCTTTTCCGTATCGACGCGGCCCCCGCCTGGCACCACGGACTGGCAGGAAACAGAACTGAATGAGGGAGTTGAAAGAAAAACCGTGGCAGCAGGGAACGGGGCTTTGTGTCCTCCCGACACTGCAGGGCGTTTCGCGTGGAACCGCCACACCGAATTTCCCTCACTCCCACCCACAGTCCCGCCACGAAATGCCACGGCCGATTTACCTTGCCCCAGTCCCGCCTCCACATGTCACGCTGGGCCCTTTGCATTCTTTAAGAGTATAGGGAAGGGATAGGGATAATAAAGAGAGAATCTTCTCTGGAAAATAAAAAGAAAAAAGAACGGCAGTATTTTACTTATCTGTTTCCAATGGAGTTCGAACTCAGGTGTGTGCATTCCAACAGTGCAGGGGCGAGGTCCCACTAGCAAAGAGTATTGGATTAAGCTCCTGAATCTGGACGTGTTTCTGCAGAGATGCAGAAAAAAGTTTTTAAATCTCGATTTTCTGCTCCTTCTTTCCACAAACAATTCCATATCCAGACGTTCAGTGCAATCCTCTCTTTTCTAGTGGGACCTCTGCCCAGAGGATGTACCAACTGTGAGCTACCTTTCGTGTGGGTTTCCGAATATGGCCGACCGGTTTTCTAAAGAGGTTGACGTCAACCTGACTGGGGTTGGTGATTGGTGGTTCGGGCTATTCCTCTATCGCTCGACGCCACGTCAGCATTTGCCCGCGCGTGGAATTTCCCTTCGCCGTCATCTGAAGAGTTGACGTCATCTGGCAGCCGGGGACCAAAGAAGGGAAGGCCAATGGGGCTGACTGAACTGACGCGTGGAATTTTGCACATACCCGAGCTTCTCCGCCATAGCCGAGGCTCCGCCATAGCCGACGCTCCGACGGCCCGAACTGACGTGTGGAACTGAGGCGTGGAACTGACGCGTGGAGATCATATTACAGTCTCCGTCATAGCCAAGCTGCGGCATAGCCGAACGCCGCCGCCAAAGCGGAGCTTCTCCATACCCTAGCTCCAGCATAGCCGAGGTCTACCGTAGCCGAAGCTCTGCCACAGCCGAAGCTCTGCCATAGCCAAGCTCCGCCACAGACAAGCTCATGACGCACACTTTCCCTGACAGGCTTGATGCACACCAGGCTCTTCAGCGCCATGTACTCTAACTCGAATTCGACCGAACAGACTGCCAAGGCAAAGAGGGCCGTTCCGACCCTGCCTTCGGTCTGTTATACACTCTCTGCAGCAGGAGGAGGAGGAGGAGGAGGAGGAGGACGAGGAGGAGGAGGAGGAGGAAAGGAAAGGAGGAGAAGGAGAGAATAAGAATTTGGAATTATACTGTAAAGAAAAGTAATGATCATGGTCCCTGGGCAACGGTGAGAGGCACAAATCGAGAAAAAAATGGTGCCACTTTTTTGTTGAGAAAGGGGGGGGAGGGAAGGAAAAAAGAGGAGGAAGGAAAGAGAGAACGGAAGGGTTTGAGCGATCTGTTCTTCCTCGTTTTTTTTGCTTTCTTTTCTTTTTTTTAGCGATCTCTCTTGGTCCTAATTTTTTTGAGATCTATCCCTTCTACAAGGCGGCGAATTTAGAAGGGGAAAAACGTTTTTTTTTCTTTTTTTTTTTTCCTTTCGTTTTCTTTCTTTCAAACGAGAGTTCCTTTTCGGCAACTCCGAGGGTAATCTCCACACTCCGACCTTTAAAAAAAAAAAAAAAAAAAAAAAAAAAAAAAAAAAAAAAAAAAACTGCCTTCTCCTCATCGGGGGACAACCATATATTTTTCTCTCGTCTCACATATTTTTAACTGGCGTTCTGCCATGTCATGGAACAACTCCTTTTTCTTTTATTTAAATTCACTGTACTTTTGTATTTAAAAAAAAAAAAAAACAGGGCTTCGGCCGTTGGCATTAGAGAGTATTTGAGAGTCAGTCCTACGAGTCACCAATTATTATCATTTATTACAAAATAATCCCTGGTGCGCGCCCCCTCCCGCAAACTGCCCCGGGTCCTCTACCCCTTGTGAACTGCCACTGGTCCTCTATTTCACCCCCTATTTGGACCCACCTATGGTCCAGGAGGTCCATTATCTGTTCGTGTCTGTCGTTTTCTGACCATCCATCCGTTCCATCGATCGATCACAAAAAGAATCAACAATTGGTTTTGGACCGTCGATCACAGAAAGGATCAATCTGGACGATCAATAACCAGGAGCAATGTGGACCGTCGATCGCAGAAAGAATCAACGTGGACCGTTGATTTGAAGGATCGATCTGGACCGTCGATCACATGATAGAGGATCAACCTGGATCATCGATGACAAGGATCAATCGGGACCGTCGATCAAAAAGTCGTGGTCCAGATCGATCGTTACTCGTCGTCCGCTCCTGCTTCTCCTCCTTGGTCCTGACCTCGTCCTGTACCATTCCTTCTGAATCATTCGATCCGCACCATCCCTTCTGAACCATCCGTTCGTTCTGGACCATTCTCTCTGGACCATTCGTTCTGGGCCAATGTCTTCTTCTTCTTCCTCCTCCTCTTCTTCTTCTTCTTCTTCTTCTTCTTCTTCTTCTTCTTCTTCTTCTTCTTTTTATCCTTCCAGTTCTGTTTTACTTCTCACATATGGACGTTGTCATATTGCCTTGCTGTGGATGAACTGTTAAGTTTAAGTGTTGTCCGACGACAACAACATCCGTTCTGGACCATTCGTTCGTTCTGATCCGTTCTGGACCATTCGCTCGGGACCATTCGTCCTGGGCCATCCGTTCTGGACACATCCGATCCGTTCTGCAGCAAGACATCCGTTCTGGACCATGCGTTCTGAGCCATCCGCTCTGGATCATTGGTTCTGAACCGCTCGTTCTGGACCATTCGTTCTGATCCTTCTGAACCATTCGCTCTGTACCATGCGTTCTGTACCATGCGTTCTGTACCATGCGATTCTGGACCACTCGTTCTGAACCATTCGCTCTAAACGGTTCGTTCTGATCCTTCTGTACCATTCGCT